ATAGGTTTCAAGTGTATAAATCTATAATACATCATCTATATATCACATTGTGTGTTCACCACCCAGAGTCAGTTCTCCTTCCATCACCATATATTTGACCCCCTTTACCCTCTTGTACAACCCCCCTCTCCCCTTACTCTCTGGTAACCACTAAACTATTATCTGTGTCTGTGAGTTTGTGTTTCTTTATTTGTTTGTCTTGTTCCTTTGTTGGAAAGTCCCCCACTTTAATGGAGTTAGTAAACCTATACTTTTCCAAATAACATAGTAAAAGAATAACTGCATGTGATGATTTCCACACTCAATTCATTATGGACTCATCAAAACACAATAACTTGTATTAATAGTAGAAATTTATTTAATGACCAGCATCCTAGTCATGCTTTTAAAAAAAATTAAGAGAGGTAACACTATAGAAAGGTAGCACTAAATTACTGATTTAAATGAGAAAACTTCCCAAATCAACACAGATTGACACAGTATTTGATTAACAATTTCACATAAGTGCTCTGCTTTTTTAACAAAAAAAATTTTTTAATCATTATAAACTTTCATGTGATAAATCACTGTTCCCCAAAAAGACCATTTTTCTGAGTTCTGCTACTGAATATAATGAATGAGGAAAGAGAGAGACAGACAAAGGCAGGGAAAGAGGGAACAACAAACAAAGAAACTCACAAAAATAGCATTCCATTCAACTAGCAAACATGGTGCTCATACAGTACTGGATTCCTGTCACGAAAACTAAGACCCATCTCCCAAGAATGCACGTACTACACACACCAAAAATGGTGACTCACACTTCCCTGAGCTCCAAACAAAGGACCCTCATTTCCTACCATGAGTTTCTGAACTGTCCACAACTGCTACTTGTGGCCAATTTCTAGATGTAAACAAGATTAGTGCCTCACTCAAGTTTTATATGGCACTAGTAAGTCATATATAATTAAGATCTTGGGTAGAACAACAGTTGGCAAAATAATATATGCCTCCTACTTCTACAGTCACTAGATTTGTTAGATTTGATGTCACAGCTGAAAGAAAAATTAGAAGTTTACTGAAATTCTCGACACTTGTTAATATTCTACTTTAAAGATTCAGAGCAGCAATAACCAAAAAGCAATGTGCATAATGTTACATATCATACAAAAATGTATTTTCTCAAATGCGAGGGGAAATATACTAACCAAAAATAGGTTAACAGTTAAATATAATAGAGCCAAATGATGAAATTTGATGCAGTTAAAAGTTACTGTTGTGATAATAATGCAACATGGAAATATGTATAAGATTATATCAGTATTATCTAAAGCTAAATTTACAAAGAGAAAATAATTATGTGCATGTTTTTATTACAACTATGAAAAAATATTCATACCAAAATAGACTAGAAGGAAATACACAAAGTTATAACCATGATTGTATTACCGTGGTGAGAATATAGAAATGTTTTTTCATGTTTCAAGCTTTTCTGTAATAGATTCATATTACTTTACAAATTAAAAATGTATACACTTTTTAAAGGAAAGCAAAGAATTCAAAGAAAAACATAAGCATATGCATTATTTGAGTTACACACTGCTATTGATAGATACCATTTTTTCCTGCTTGCAAGGGAACTGTTTGCTGCTGGTGAATGTAACTATTTACTGAGTACTTATAAAAACTGAGTATCTTCAAGTGTTTGGAACAAGGACTCACTATTCATTTTACTTCATTGCATTCCTGGGATGAAGGAATTATATTAGTCAGGGTTCCCCAGAGAAACAGAACCAATAGGATATATGTAAACATATATATATAGAGAGGTTTATTATGAGGAATTGGCTCCCACAATTATGGAGGTTCAGAAGTCCCATGATCTCCAAACTGCTAGCTGGAGACCTAGGAAGCCAGTACAATAATTCCAGTCCAAACCCAATGGTCTGAAAACCAGGAGCACCAATGTTCAAGGGCAGGAGAAGATGGATGTCCCAGCCCGAAGAGAAAGAGTAAATTCACCCTTCTGCTGCCATTTTATTCCACACAGGCCCTCAATGGATTGAATGTTGCCCACCCATGTTGGTGAGGGAGGTCTTCTTTACTCAGTCTATTGATTTAAATGCTCATCTCTTCCAGAAACATCCTCAAAGATCCATCCAAAAATGATGTTTTACCAGCTATCTGAGCATCCCTTAGCCCGCTCAAGTTGACACATAAAATCAACCATCACAGGAACAATAACAGGAAATCTCTGGAAAAGGACAGGTAAAAAGTGAACTGGGCAGCAGTACTACACATAAAAGGTCACAAATGCACCCAGGAGTTGTGCAGTGTGCCAAGCTGAAGGCGCTCTAGTGCCACAAGTTCGGAGGTCTATAGGGTTCGTTAAATAAAATTTCTGTATCGTACAATGACCCCCATCGACGGTACCAGAGTACTGCAAGCCTTCAGTATTCTATGCACAGGGTACACGATGGGCTAGTTTAGCAGCCAGCCTCCCTGACCACTGTCTATAGTCCCACGCAGATGGCCCCAGACTATATCCTTTATATCTATATACTCATGGTAAAGATTTATAAAATTTAAATGATCTTGGCCAAACCAAACAAAATACTTGCTGCGAGTAGAGAGATATTTAATCTCCTTTTGGTGTTTAACAGGAATAAAAAAAAGAACCCTGCTAGAGGAAGTAACACCCACCTCCAATCTCCTCTGGGAGTGGGGGAGGGGGGCGGGGGCGGCACGTGTGGCTAAAATAAAAACCTCAGGGACCTGGTGTATAATCAATGTCAAAATTTCTGGAGAAAAGGGCCGGCCGAGTGGCGCGATGGTTAAGAGCTGGCTTGGGACGCCAGAGGGCCCTGGTTCGGATCCCACATGTGAGGGACAGTGACACTGCCCTCTACAAAAAAAAAAAAAAAAAAATTCTGGAGAAGAATTTAACTTAGGATAGGGGTTGTTGTAAGAATAAAACTCCTTGAAGCAGTCAAATGTTTTATCTAGTGCCTTCCAGTATAACCTAAGCATTCTATTATTTGGTTTTGTGTGTGTGTGTGTGTGTGTGTGTGTGTGTGTAAACAAAGAAAACAGGTTTATTTATGGCAGAATTCTTAGAATTTACAATTGCCTAGTCAATATACATATCATCAAAGAAGATAGAGTATACACTATTTTCTTTAAAATATTTTATATTTTTAATGTTTTATTATAAAGTAAAACACAAATACAGAAAAACCACACAAAAGAAATGCACACATCAATGATTATTAGGTTAACATCCTTGTAGCCACCACTCTGGTCAAGATACAGAACTTTGCCATCCACCCCAGAAACCCCTCTTTGCATTATACCCCAATCCCAACTCCTTTCCTCCCCACAAAAGTAACCACTGTCTGACTTTTATAGTAATCACTTCCTTATGTATCTTTATATTTTTATCGCTCAAGTTGTCCATCCTAGTACTATAGCTTGGTCTTGCTAATTTTTAAAAATTTGATATGTCTTTAAGTTCTTTTAATGGACAAGTTCCCTCTGCATTCTTTTCCTTTTAATCTATCCATTGAAGAAAACATGGGCCACTTGATCTGCAGTTTCCCAGTGTGGAGTTTGTCATTTGCATTCTCGTGGTGCAATTCAACTTGTTCCTTTATCCTCAGTATTTCCTGCAAATTTGCAGCTGGAGCCAGAGGCTTATCAGACTCAGATTTCATCCTTTGGCAAAACTATAGGTGGTACTACATTCTTTTTTTTTAACTTAAAAGAAAATATTTCCAGTTTTACTGAGATATAACTGAGATACTGTGTAAGTTTAAGGTATAAAACATAATGATCTGTCACACATATATACATATTATGAAATTATTACAATAAGGTTAATTAACACATCCATCACAAGAAGGCTAGTTTCTTTAAATGAGAAAAGCCATTTCAAGATCATGACGTGGGAACTTGTGATGCTTATCGCAGAGTACCCAGCCAAGGGACACCAAGAGACCACGTGGCTGAAATTGTTCATCAAAATCCAAGTCCTGTCAGACCCACCAAATCCTAATGGAACAGGCGTGCAGCAAGAAGCCATCATAAAATAGCAGTCGTACATTAGGAATCATTCATGAAGAGAGCCTGAGGGCGTGAGCCAGCCGCATGACTGGGGAGCCCGTCTCCCACAGCATCCATCAGGGTTGCACCAACCACTCCCTTAGTTCACACCTGTGGCTGTATGGGGATTCTATACACTCAGCTGAAGGACAACAAAAAGACTGGAGTTCTGTTTTATGATTGTTTGATTTATTACATACAGATACAAGCCAAAAATGCATAGCAGCCTCTGTGGTCTCACTCAGGCGTGGCCATAAAAGATAACGGTAAAGGAAAATCTCCCAACTGGTGACCTTCACGCAGTGCACTAGTTATCCACTTCACAGCAAGGAAACGTTGCCCAACTGTAGACCATACGAGTATGTGAATTCATAGGCAGTCGCCAATGGCTTAGCCGGATGGCGAGAATCCAGAAACAGAATGACTGAAAGATCAGGAACAAGGGAATCTGAGGTAGAAGCACATGGATGGATACACAGGAGTGAGTGTGCAACATAAAGATACTTGCCTCACATGTTAATGCCGACCATCAACCAAGAAAGGG